TAATTATAAAAGCTTTGACATAAAATTTTCATAATAATTATACACTAAAATTAGTTGACCTTGGAACATAAAATACCGAATCCCTAATCGATGATTTTATCTACTCTGACCATGTATCACGTTATTAATAGAAATGTTCGAGTTTAGTAGTAACTGATGAATCAAAGGGAGATTTGGATACACAAAAAAATTGAGAGAAAACCTTGAAGCATATACAGTTTTTTTTTGTGAATTTTGATATTTATTAGCCATTAATATTAATGGAAGAGAACTTGATGTAAATGGTTTTACAACTTTGGTAACATTGGTTGAAAATTTCCTCATTGGGTTGATTAATTTTTCATGCAGATCAACCAAAGTGAGCAAGTAAATAATGAATGTTAGTCTATCAGCTTCATTTAGCAACTGGTTCTCTATAATAGCTAATTATTAATAAATTTGTACAAATTTTATCTACTAATAAAAATTTTTTGACCGTAGCCCTTTAATAAAATACTTTTAAAGAACAAAATTGGCGTCACTTTTCCAAGTATCGTTTTTATGTGTAACGCTGATCTATCCATAAAAGAATTTTCAACATCTTGCTGGCGTGTAAATTTCGTCGTGTAACTAGTACAAATTTAGAAACTATCTACAGAAATTCTAACTTTGATTGGATAATAATGTTACACACATCGCACCTTCAATTTTATGAATTCAATTTTTGAAAATTTTTTGTGACACGGTAGTTTTTTTTATTATTAGATCATGAAAAAAATTGTCAATAAACAAAATAAACAAATTGATTCCTTCTCTTATAGTTAAAATATAAAATAAAATAATGACTTATTTTGCTGCAAATTAATTAAGCTATTAATTAATATAATCAAGATAATCAATATGATAATTATAATTCACATAAAAAAATAATTCATGTGACTTTGTATAATAATTGCCGATCTCCCGGGTTATTATTAATAATAACAATATAATAAATAATCGTTGATCGGCGGATCACGAATTGATCCGATCATCGGTCCAAAAATCGTCGAAGAATTTTGGCGCAAATGTTCAAATTTGGAAGTAAATTTTTGTGGCAACCATTTGAAGGTTCGCAAACACTTCTTTGATAGTTGTACATTTTTATATGTTTTTAAACATTAAGATAGCAAAAAATAATATCACTGGATGCAATAATCTTGGAACAATTAATATTAATATGTTAAGGTTTAAATTTAAATAAATAGAACAAAGAGTATATTATCTTTAGATTGTCAAGCTACATGCATCTTCCATATTTTACCTCTCTCTACGCCCCAGAATCATTCAAACAATAATGATTATATTTTGGGAAAATAAATGCAATTCCATATTCGTCCAATTAGTAAAATGCATCGAGAAAAGCCCAAAAAAAAATTTTTATTTCTACGAATTCATTATTATTATGTATTTATATATTGTTGTTTATTTTATTTATTTGTTTTTTTCTACCTTAAATTTCTGTCATACAAAAACTTATTATTAAACAAGCATAGTAATAGTAATAGTGGAACTTTACAGTACATAAACTACAGATTTTAGGTTAAAAATAAAATAAGATACTTGTACCTATTTGGATTCATGTAGACTAAAATTACAAATAAAATTGATATTCCAATTCTTGATATTGTCTAGGTTAATATGTGCTTTTGACTACATTCACTGTTTTGTTCACGTCAGAGACTGCGGCAACATTATTCCACAGCTACGTATCGAAGTATGATTAATAAAATAAGAAGACTCAGTAAAGCACGAATGGCCAAATGCGGAGGACGTACCCAAAAAAACGTGCACCCAATTCAGTGGACATACCCAACAAGGATTGCAAGAGCCTGGCAAAAAAGTCCCATCTATGTTGTTTCACTGAACTGAGCACTTATCAAAACTCATCTGGTATTGTAAAATCAACTTACCATCTTCCTATTCGAAAGCTTTTGTGTATAGTTGAGAAGTTCTAAAGAAGCCTTTTGATCGTTATTTATTGTTTGTAAAGTCTTATAAATGTTTGGTGAGATGATGAATCTTTATCTATGAAATTGTTATTGTCAATTGCCCAGATAACAAAATATTGGAGCGATCAGATCTCATAAGAATAAATCTCAAAATATCTGGTCTGGGAAAGTTTCCACGTCTTGATCTTTCTAATGGAATGACATCTGATGTCTGTAAAGAAAGTGACTGAATAAGGCCGGCCATATAATAATAATGCAGATACGGATTCTGACTTAGATTTTATAAGTATTAGAGATTGCAAAATTATGTTCCTTAAGGCTCTTAATTAGGTTTACATTTGCTTTAAGTTCATCTTTGGTCAAAAGAAGAAAGGTATTATTGTTATATCCCATTACAAAAAAATTGTCGCAAAAAATAATTGGTCGATCATTTCTGACCAATATCTTCAAAAAATTTTTTCTTCCTGATATAATAATTATTGTAATGTCTATATACCCACTTTACAAGGATCTATTTCCACCAACCGGTGTCGAGGAAGTTGTTTGTGCTTCTTTTACTTCGCCTACTGACATTAATTTAATAGTTGCACGTTCATCGATCTTACAAATATATAGATTTGTTGAGCAAGCTGAAGTTACAAAAGAGGAAGAAACAGCCATGGAAGAGGATGTTAACTTGGTAAATGTGTTTGGTAAAGATGATGATCAGGTAGGCTGGAGACTTTTAATTGATGAATAATATTTTTCAAAAAGGATATATATATAATGATTTTTTTTAATTCAAGTCTTTATATTATCAAAATATATTTGAATAAAATGAGAAAATTCATCAAGTTAATATTTAAATATATTTAGTGTAAAATTATTTAATAGAAGTTTATTTATTTATTTTGAAAATATATACATGATATTATATATATGTAATGTTTTCTTTATTTTTCTGTGATAAAAAATTAACTACATGTACAAAATAAAAATATGACATATAGAATTTCATATTTCCTACACTCAAACCAGCTGCAAATCTTTTGTACATGACTGCTCGCCTTGAATTAATTATTCAATATAAGCTCCATGGAAATATAACATCTATGGGTGTTGTTCAAACGATTTCATCTGGTGCAAATGGTATGGATAGTCTATTAATAAGTTTCAAGGATGCAAAGGTTTGTAGTCTTTAAATAAAAATCAAAATTAACAAATAACTATATGTATATATAGCAAGAGATGACAATAATTTTCATGTTTTGATAGTTATCACTTTTGGAGTTTTCTTTGGCAACAAATAGTATTGTCACAGTATCAATCCACTATTATGAACGTGAGGAATTCAAGGTATTAAACTATTGAGGGTGGGTGGGTTGTGATTTGAATTTACTTGATTTTTCATGATTAAAGATGATTGTAACATGTACACAAAAATACACAATATTTTAGTTGGAATTTCTTTCAAATCCATTTCCTACCAAAGTCAAAGTTGATTCATCAAGTAGTTGTGCAGTTTTACATTTTTATGGTGATAAGCTGGCAATCTTGCCATTTCGTCAAGAAGCTTTGAATTTAGATGAAGAAGATGCTGCAATGTAAATATTATTTTTAATTTAATAACCAATTTATTTATAAAGTGGTACAAATAGTAACAAAATCATTTTATTTTTCTGAAAATTTGAAAAGCAAGTGGCCATATGTACCAAGTTTTGTTGTTGAATTATCATCAATACAGTCAAAAATTAAAAATATTATAGACATGAATTTTTTGAATGATTATTATGAACCAACTTTGGCAATACTTTTTGAACCTTGCCAAACTTGGCCCGGGTAAGAGATCTTTTAAATAGTTTAATAATATTGTAATAAATAATTTATTGGCTTATTATATTATTAACAATTAAAAACTTTTTATTTTAGGAAATTAAATTCACAAAAAGACACTTGTTCTCTTATTGTCATATCACTTGATATTGCACAGAAAAAATATCCAATAATATATTCAATGGACAACTTGCCACATTCTTGTGTAAAGACAGTTCCAGTTCCAAAACCTATAGGCGGTATACTTATAATAACAGCTAATGCATTAATTCATGTAATTAAAAATTCACCAGGAATAGGTGTTTCTGTTAATGGTTATGCATCATCAACAACAGATTTTCCGCTTGATAGTTCATTTGAGCATTTGGGGATTACCTTAGAAGGCTGTAAACATGTCTTTTTGACAACTGACGAAATATTACTTGCTTTGAGAAATGGTGATTTATACCTTGCAAAGTTAATAAAGGATGGAAGATCAGTCTCAAAAATTAGTTTGGAAAAGGTTGGCAATGATACATTGCCATCATGCGCATGTTACATTACAGATGGGTATTTTTTCCTAGGTTCAAGACTTGGAGATTCTCATCTGATTCAATATAAAACACTAAAGATTGAACCAAAATCCAATGGTGTTGTGAATGGCTTTGGTTATCAGTCAAGAAGGAATACATTAGATTGAAATAAATCGATCACAAGTGAGTAAAAGGAACTTTATAGAAGCCCTTTAGTTATGTAAAATGGCAACTTTATTTATCAGTAAAAAATTTATTATTTCAAAATAATTTAGCTTTAAAAACGAAATAAGGATAAAATAAAAAGATATATAACTATAATAGATAAATTTATATTAATTGTTCATCAATTCTTCCTTTTACTACTATTACTAGAATCTAATTAATAATAATTTCTGATTAATTAATAATGAAATTTTTATTCACCTTCAGCATTTAAGAGAAGAGAGTTAAAACCAAGACTATTTAATGAACTAT